GGAGTCATTGTAATCCATAAGCTGTACTTTGGAAATTTATATTCATTAAATAAAAGTTAAAAAAAAGTCATTGGTATCAAATTTTTACATAATCTAGTCTTATTCATTAAATTCTCTACTATGTGTATTTTGTGCTAGGTTCATAGCACAATAATGTCTAAGTTCACAGACATAAAGTTTACATAAATAAAAGCGAACATCAACAACAGCTTAATCCACTTTATTAAGGCATGACAAATGCCATCAGTGAGTAGGTATGTGCTTTGCACAGACTGCAGACAGTGCTAGGTCACTCTGTAAGAAATCCTTGGTCTTTAGGGTATTTTTAGCTAGACTGATGTGAGATTTTCTTTACTCTTTCAAAATTCTATTTCAGTTGATATCTTTCTTTCTGTATTACTAGTACGACTTTTCACTTATGACTAGCATTTCATGTTTATCATCAGGTCATGATGAAAATCCTTAAGGGTCTTAAAGGTACAAAACTCTATTATCAAACAATCTTAGCAAAATTCATGCTAGGCTCCTGGCATATTTATCTAATCCTTCCAATGGTTTTTTGATGGTTTAATGGATTTTATCAACGTTTGAAACTTAATATTCTCTAGTACTTGGATCTAACACGACCCATTTCCATCTTACGCCAAAAGTCTGTTTCCTTTATAGGATTTTAATTTGGGTTACAAATGGCAGACATTCTGTTCCATAACTACTAATGTGCCACCCTTCACTTTCTGAATTGCCAACCACATATTTTTTAACAAAGGATCACAGCCCTATCTCAAGAAAGCACTGTGGGATTATGTTAGGTAAAAAGGATTTTATTTCCTATGTCAAACAGCATTTTCTGATTAGTAAAAACAGCTTAAAAACAGCTTGAGATAGAACAGGTGTTGTCTTTCAGTTGCCTTTATCCTCTATGAAAGGATGTATGCAACAAAGTGCAAACAACTTCATAGCTTGAAGGTGCTGCTGCTGGACACAGTGGACACTGCTGAGCACCTCACAGTCTCTAGAAGTTCACACTATACACTGTATGTGTAGAGTTTAGCAGATATAATTTCTTTCTCAATTACCTAGGGTTCTGCCCAATTTAATTGGCTCAATTTCCTATGGCTTTGCATAAAAGGAATACATTTAAAGATTCTAACATTTCAGAACTGATACTTCAGCCATGTCTACCAAATCAAATTGTTTTAATGGTTAATAAGCACTTAATTCATTTTGCTTTCTTTTCAACTATATCATTCAACCTCAATAAGAACATACAGTTTTCAATTTTTGTTGTTCATCATTTTCTACCTGTTAAGGGAAGCTGTGGGTTAGCCAGCAGCTTGAAAATAATAGGATGATAGAATATTCTGCTCTCTCTGGTGATCCTATACTGAAGTCTGACATTTGATATGCTTGATAATAATCACTGCATATTTTCAAACTGCTTGAAAAAGACTCCATGTAATGTTGGTGGAAGTACATACTATTACTGGCATTTGTTTCCATGTATTTGAAAGTAAATGAAGACAAAAAACTTTAACAGTAGATTCAATACTTACATATAAACATCATGAAAGATCCCCGTGAATATCTTACTAAACCTAAGGATCCCATCCTCAGATAGGGAGAACGAATACATTACATGTACTTTCACTGACATTTTACATGTGTTCTCTTGATTCTCCAAAAGCCTATATATTTTATAATTATATAGACACTTATTTTATATCATTTATGTATGTTTTATAGAAATACTTACATATGCATGTTAGCCCCACATACACGGTATGTATGTATAATAAAATGTCATGTATATTATAAACTTATAGAATGTGACATATTTGCATTATAAATATTATATAATAGGACTGATACAGCATACAATGCATGTCATTTCATTATATAACATACAAATATAAAGCGAGAATTTTTAAATATTCTTGTACAGGTCTCTGGACAACTTAGAAAAACATACGTATTTAAACTTGGCTTGTTCAGGTGGGAAGGTGGATCTGTGCAGAAAAAAGGTTACCTGGGCTTTAGGCTTTTCTCTGTATTGAAGCACCTTTGCAGAAAGTACCTTTGTAGTATTCTAAGGGATTAGATTAACTTAAACAAAAAACTGAATTCATTGTACAAATAAAACTTAGGTAAAATACTGCTCTGAAATGCTTGGAATCAAAAGTGCTTCAGATTCTGGAATATTTGCATACACATGACAAGATATCTTAGAGAAGATAACCAAATATAAATATAAAATGAATTTTTGTTTCATATAAAACTCAAACACATAGGTTGAAGGTAATCTTGTGCAATATTTTAATGTACCTGCAATTTTACCAACATATCACTGAAGTAAAGTGTGGAATTTCACTTGCAGCATCAAGTGCTCAAAAAGTTTGGGATTAGAACATTCTGGATTTCAGAATTTCAAATTGGAAATGTTTAGCCTATATGTACTGTATTAAAGATATAATATATCAACCAGAAAGAATGCTGGTCGGCTAAGGAGGTATGACAAGAAGATTCACATACACAATGATTTTATGGCCCCTACAACCTAGGGGATCATCATACCAAAGAATGGAGAAGCAAGAAGGGCAACATAATTTTCAGAAAAGGAAGAGCCACATGGAAAATGACATTTAATGCAGCTATGAGATTTTCATCATATATATGTATTTTCTTCTTGAACAGTGTTATTTGTAAATTTAATTTTCTGCTAGTAGCTTTATGCTACTTATCACAGAGGCAATGCTGTTCAAAAATCAAATATATTATGCTTTCTTCAAACTGCTATCTTGGTTTGCCTTACTAAACAATGAAAACAGTAAGAATGGTATAAAGGAGGCCATACAAATACAAAAATACAAATTTACCTATAATCTGGAACACAGTTATGAAGTGGGCTATTATCTTAAGTACCCTGAGAAGGAAAAACTTAAAGTGTTTTCAAAAACACAAAAAATTAATAAAAAAAATCAAAAGAAAAACAATTCCCTTTAATGACCATATATATATATATATACACACACACACACATATATACACACACACACAACTTTGAAAAACAAAACATTTTCACAAATGATTTCAATGTGATAATTTCAATCCATTGCAAGGCCTCAAGGCTAAGTTTCTAAAATTAAAAAAAAAACTGAGCAATGGGTAAAATATGTTTATTTAAAATACAGTATTCATTTCTTACTAGTTTTTTTAAGAACACATGGGGTTTAACATAAATGAAAATTTACAGAGTGTAAGTGAGGCTTGGAAATGAAAGAAAGATCTGGGGGATAGGACAGCAAAGAGAACAGAGTGCCAACTGAAGAGTTATGCATACAGACTGCCAGAAAAAACAAACAGGGGGCAGAGAGCTGGGGAGAAGGGGATACAGAGCAGTAAACGGAGGGTGTGAGGGAGAAGGCAAAGGGAGACATGTGATAAACAGAAGAGACAAGAAGAGAAACAAAGAGACAGGGAAACATTGAAAGACACTAATAGAAATGGAGAGGAAGAAAGAAAGAAAAGAGGAGGAAGGAAATGGACAGGATTAAGTCACATGAGCAGGAAAGAAAGGGATCCCTGAAATGCCAGGTAGATAGAAAGGAAGAGAAGGCTGAGACAAAGTGGAAAAGACAGACTAAGAGGGAGATTAATGGGTAGGACAATGGAGCAAAGAAGAGGGCAGAAGAGGAGAGAAACTGAGACAGGAAGTAAAATGGAGATGAAGAAAGGAGAGAAGCAGAGCTTGAGCACCAAGGCAAAAAACGAAAACCAAAAGGAGAGGAACTAAATGAAAAAGAGGTAAAAAGAGAGAAAAGTGAAATGTGACAAAGGATGAGTGAAAGCAGTTGCAGGTAAGAACTGAGAATGTGCTCCTTAATTTTCATCTTTCACAGTTCTCAATTTAAAACTTGAAATCCAAGGCTTAAAAAAAGGATGATAAAATTCTCAGGGATGAGAACAATGCATCCGATAAAAGAACCTAATTTTAATAATAGCTATTAATATTTTCATGACCTTAATTACTGACACAGTGGGAATCAAAGACAAAAGAAAGAACAATGATATTTAGTTGATAAAAGGCTACTTAGTGATTTTTCTCTTACCTCCTCTAAAAAAGAGATGCTATTTTTTAGGAACAAAATAATTGGTTTATAAAGGAGAGGAAAGTTGAAAATATCAGCCAATTCCAGGAAAAAAAGCAAGTAAAATTCTTAAAAAAAACCCATACCAACAATTCAGTTACACACAAATGGATATTTTTTTGATTATCATGTGTCACCTATGTGGTAAGATTCTAGTTTTGAGAAATCAAAATATCAAGAAAATGTCAAAGTTTTCAGACTTCATAATTAGAAATCAGACATTAGAAATCCAACATTACATAGCCCGATTAGCATTTGATTTCTTTTACATTGTGATCTATGATAATGCTAACCATAGCAATAACAGACCCAGGTTTTGCCCTGTTAAAAGTAATGTAAAAATTATTACACCTTTTCCCTAAAAAAGAGTGCAAAAATTAACATGAGATTTGAAACTTAAGATTATTAGTTTTCTAATTTCTAAGAGTCTCACTCACACTGTATTTGTTCCATAATGAAACAAGCCATACAGAATGTCTATTTTTCAGATGAACCTAAAGGAGAAGTCATTTTTCCAACTGACAATTTGTTCCAATATACACAAACACCATTAGCACCAAGGTAAATCATTCTACCAGTAAGGTATAAGAAGTATCAAAAATTTGAGGGGTAGGAAAGAAGAAACTGGTGCTATAGATGAGAAGTGATGCCTCTTACTTTTTTCATTTTATAAACCTAAACAACTATATCTTTGTAAAAATAAACAGAAACCATTTAAAACATGATCTTATTTTGTACATGGTAAAGACTTTATCACATATACCACTAATAAAAATTATGGTACTAAGTAAACATGAATACTTCTTCAAACATTTTACTACCTTTTGTACAAATAACAAATGAATTAAATCATACCTTCATTGTATTGGTATTTGCTTCATCATACAGAGTTAATGAAGATGTACTTTCCATAGTATCTGCAAACTGATGTTCTGCATTGCTCCTCTACAGAGCTCACAGCACACACATCCAGCTGATTAGTCAGGCACTGAGAGTGCCTGCTAGAGCAGTCTAAAGCACTTGCCGAGGACTCAGAGACAATAGAAAGTCAACAGCTGTATGTTGTGATGTCAGTAACACTCTAGCCAGTCACCACTCAGAATATCTGAAATGCATCAGAAGCTATATTGAGCTCTTCATTAGCAATTCAGAAGCAATGATGCAAAAGCCCATGAAACTGTGAATCTGCAAAGACTGTCAGGATTTTTGAGAGTTCTCGCTATTTAAAACACTGTTGCACAATGATGCCTGACACCACACTGATGGAAAAAGTTGAGATAATTATATTTTCTGTAATTCCCTCAACAAAACATAAAGAATCTATGCTTGGCTTATATATCAATTTCAAATAACTCCTTTTGATATTTTTAACACCACTAACAAAAGGTTTTAAAATCCTCTGTCTATAAACAGCTGATAGTCCATGGCAGCTTGCCTATTCAAACTGACTTTAATTGTCACAAAGAAACAAAATGCATTAAGAGTACAATTCTGCATTTCTTGATTTGATTTGCTGAAATCAAAATGATCTTGCTTACTCTGGTAAGAGCATTACTTCTTCATACCAACAGATGGAGATAGCAATAGAGCTGTGATCAGAGGACTGCCTTGTGTCAGATGCTTCTTGGCTATTTATACGTATATTAGCTCAAGCAGCAGACTCCAACAAAAAGGAAGCAGTCAAAACCAATTTTAAAAAACCTCAATGTTCAATAATGGAGAAGGCAACAAAACAAAAAGAAGAAAACAGGAAAGTAACTATGTCCACTGGGTAAAACACTGAATAGTCAGACAATTGTGCACTTTGGCTACTACCTCTGTTTCACATTTTGTTAAACAAAGATCACTCTTTCCACAAGCATTTAGATAGTGCCTATATTATTTGAAGAAAAATATGTTCACTACTAATCAGAAATACTATTGTTTGGTGCCTCTAAAATGGTTAAGTTTCCTAGGGCTTATATAACACTACATCATAACAGAGCAGCAATGCTCAGTTTGGCAAACACCAACATAAAAGATATTAATTTTACGGTTTAATTAGAAAAAATACTACTATTTGTTTTCTGTTAAAAAACAGGCTCCATTTCAGCCCTGTAAATGGATTTCAGTTTATATAAATAGAAATTTAAGTATATATATATATAAACATATATATACATATACATACACATAAACTTGTATCTTCCCTGAGTATTAAAAGATAAGGCAGCTAATATCAGTAAGTTTTGTCTGAGATGTTTCACACTAATTTACCAAAGATTCCCCAAGTTCCTATTTTCCCAGTGTACAAGCAAACACTATGCCCTACATTTTTTGGTGCCCAGATATCTTTAAGAGATAAAAATCAAGAATGGCTTAATCTCCAAACAAAAAATATCCAAGACCTTACTTTTTTATAAAGTTACTGTGTCTACTAAAGGACATAGAAGATTTTTCTTAAATAAAATCTTTGCTACTTCTGAGAAATACGGATTTCAAGGCAGTTTTGTTTAAAAACTCTAAAAGAAACTTTTATTAAGAAACAGGAGGACAAGCTGAAGTGCAGAATAATGAAGCATCCCACTTACATTGCGGCTAACACTAAAATGAATATTTCTACTATATTTCTTTTAAGCTTTGGAAATTGTTAGGTCTTAAAACTTCAAAATTATTGAAAATTTTTTAAGAAATTTATTTTTAAACTTTTTTTTGAAAGGCAGAGAGAAACAGATTTCCCATCTGCTTTTTCACTCAGCAAATGCCCACAAAAACTGGGGCTGAGTCAGACCAAAGCCAGGAGCTGGGAAGTCCATCTGGGTCCCCCACATGGGTAGCAGGATCCAAGTATTTCAGTCATTACCTGCTGCCTCCAAGGTTCACACTAGCAGGAAGATGGAAGCAGAAGCAATGTTGGGGCTTGACCTCAGGCACTGATATGAGATGCAGGCAAACCAAGTGATGCCTTAATCACTAAGCCAAACACTGGCCCCAATTAAAAATATGTATAAAGATGCAGTTTTATAATTGCCAAATAGAGGCCTCTCTGTAATTTTGAAGGGAAAGGACTGTTAGTAGGGAACTCCAGTGATAAAAAACTGTTAATTTAGGAACACTCTACAATTTGCACATAAAACACAGAACACTGTCTTCAATATTCTTTTTGCATACTACACCACTAATTATGTGAGTTACCTTTGGCTCTATCCCACAAATGTGTAACACAAAAGTGCAATGTTTAAGGTTTCTGATGATGTTGGGATGTGCTTAAAACATCAAGGTCAGGTAATAAAGGAAACTTTCAAAGACTAAATCCTTGATGAAGAAACCTGAGTTAATGAGATTTAACTTTCTGCTTGCATCTTAAATTTCATAGTGTGCTTATTACAATGTCCAGCAACCTCCTCTGCACAAACTAAAGCTCACCAGCTCAATTAACACTGGGTTTAACTATACTTATCAGATAAAAAGGATAATTCCCAACTGAATCACAGGAACTGGGACAATTACGGGACTAATAACAGAAATTTAATTGTCTAAATCTAATTACTGACACCGATGATAAACTTTCTTCTTAATTTTTATGGTGCCTTAGCTCTTATGGGACTTTTAAAGTACTTGACCTTTAATGGTGAAAATATTTGAACCTAATTCTCTCATATGGATCCTTAGACCTTATAAATAAAAAGAGCAAAGAATCACTATAACTATGGGCCACCTTAAAGGAACAAGCTTTTGGAAATTTAAGTAGAAAAATTAATATTCTGTAATTATTAATGCAATGATTAATTTTGGCAAGGCTCATAAAGATGACAAAACCTACTAGATGAAAGGCTGTTGTTCAACAAGATTTCCTTTGGCTATGATGAATAATTTTCAATTTCTTTTTTGTCTACATTTTATTCATTTGGAAGGCAGAGCTAGAGAGAGGAGAGACAGAGAAAGATCTTCAAACCACTGATTCACTCCCCAAATGCCTGCAATGGCAGGGGCTTAACCAGGCTGAAGCCAGGAACCAGGAGCTTCAACTGGGCCTCTCAGGAGCACAGCAGGGACCCAAGCACTTGGGACATCTTCCACTGCTTTCCCTAGCTCACTAGCAGGAGCTGGATGGGAAGCGGAGTAGCTGAGATAAGAACTGGAGCCTATGTGGGATGCCAATGTTGCAGGCGGTGGCTTTAGTGGCTATATCACAATGCTGGTCCCAGTAACTTTTAATTTCAAATGTATGTTTACAACAAACAGTTTCAACCAGGTGATCAAAATATCACCAACAACCAGACAGGCTAACGTTTCTTACCTCCAGGTGTAATATTAACAGGGAAAAAATCATCTATGCTATATCCCTCAAAAATATTAAAGCTGAATCTGATCATGATAAATCAGACAACTTCATTGTGGACCATTAAACAGAGCTAGCTTTATATCTCTTCAAAATCATTAACATTACGGAAGAAAACAATTAGGAGAATTATAGAAGACTAGACAGATATTTCAACAAATGTAAAGTATTATATTTGACTGGATGCTACACTTTAAAAAAAATTGAAAGGCAGAGAGAGAGAAACGGAGATCTTTCATCTACGGTTTCAGTTCCTAAATGCCTGCTACAGCCAGGAGACTGGGACTCCACAGGTGGAGGGACTCAAGTACTTGTGTCACCATGTGCTGTCTCCCAGGATGTGCATTAGCAGGAAGCTAGATGGGAAGCAGAGAAGCTGGGATTCAAACCAGGCACTCCGACAAGGGATATGGTGTCCCAAGAGGCAACATAAGCAGCTGTGCCAAATGCCTCTCCTTGGATTCCACATTTTTATAAAAGTTATGGAGGATTTGTTGAATGACTGAGGTATGAATGTAACACATATTACATGGTCATAATTTTATCAATTTGAAATTCCTTGGATATGATAAAAATACACTAACCAGAGCTGGGGTTTGGGAGGGGGGGACAGAAAAGAAAGCAAATGCGTAAAAACGTGAAGAACCGGCCGGCGCCGCGGCTCACTAGGCTAATCCTCCGCCTTGAGGCGCCGGCACACCAGGTTCTAGTCCCGGTCAGGGCGCCGGATTCTGTCCCGGTTGCCCCTCTTCCAGGCCAGCTCTCTGCTGTGGCCAGGGAGTGCAGTGGAGGATGGCCCAGGTGCTTGGGCCCTGCACCCCATGGGAGACCAGGAGAAGCACCTGGCTCCTGCCATCGGATCAGCGCGGTGCGCCGGCCGCAGCCCGCTGGCCGCGGCGGCCATTGGAGAGTGAACCAACGGCAAAGGAAGACCTTTCTCTCTGTATCTCTCTCTCTCTCACTGTCCACTCTGCCTGTCAAAAAAAAAAAAAAAAAAAAAAAAACGTGAAGAGCCATAAGGCATTTATTACACTCTAACTTTTCTGTACAACCTTTTTCAATAAGGCCTCTTCCCCTTTCACTTTTGAAGTAAAGTCCTCTATTTACTGTGAATTTTAAAATTTATTAATGACCAAAGCATTTGAACTCCAGAAGATTCCCAAGTCCCTTAAGATTCTGCTTTAACTAAACATAAAATTACAACATATTAAAAATAAGAAATTCACTTCTGGTGGTCTATTTTTATTTTTCAGACAGAATATTCCACTCAATAAAAACAGTAATCACCAGTATACAGTAGTGGTAAAAAAATCTTGAGTCTTGGCTTGGTGAAGAAACCTCTGCTTATAGTATATATTACACATCCTTAGTAAAATGCTTTCTCTGATTTATGAAGTTACACACTAACAGAATTCCACAGTTGGGAGGCAGAAGCACTCTGTCTAGTTCATACCTTATAGTTCAGGAAACTAAAGCTCAGGAGTGAAACAATATGATCACTGTCTTCAATTAAACTGGATGTTGTCTTACACTAAACTAACTAATCAGACTCTGTAACAATAGTTTCTATGACACATTTCCTGGAAATGCCCAAACTCTGACCTGGCCTAACCTGTTGGTTACTTGCTCTTACTGGATTTCACAGATTAAAGATGAGTAATATAAATACGAAGGAAGAATATCCCATATTGGGGGGTTGGTAGATTCCTTCTACCTCATGAACCATGAAGTTCATTCCTAGACTGCTTTTTCTATCCAACTATCTTATCTTACTACCTAACACGCTGCACCTGAGAATCTTATATTATGACATTTTCTGATTAATTGACATGTGCAGTTACATTTTTAAAAATACCATGTATTGCATGCTTCAGTACTGATCACCTAAGATTAATGCTAATATACTTAATTTCATTTTCAATGCTATAAAAATGTGTCATATGTAGTACATTAGGTAGTAAGTTGTTTGAGAATATTAAATTAAAAAGTCTTCTTGAAAACAACCCCAGTTGAAGTACTATTAGCTCTGTTTCAAAGCTGAAAAGACTGAAGTACAAAGAGATTAAGTACTGGGTAGTCAAAATGGGAGGCTGGATTTGAATTTTACAGACTTTACTCTTAAGTAGTATACTATTCTGTCTCTATGTAGAAATTAAGTTTAGACCGGCCCTGTGGCTCCCTTGGCTA